GAAGAAATCTCAAGGTTAAAAAGGCTTCAATACCACTGAGATTTCAATAACAGGTGCGGCATAACGTTTCAATGATTGTAGTCACGATATTCAAAGCAATGGCTTTTTGGCCTGGGAGAATAATTTTGATAAACATTTGCTCGTTCTCTGGCAATACACTCTTGCCTCACCTTCCCTGGTTATCTCGTAGGGATTACGGGTCAAAGTTAATCTTCCATTCACGCTCTCATACAACGACTATCATATAATGCGAATTTGACATGTGTAATCGTTCATGACTGACCTATTATCAACTTCGGGTGTTTCCGGATGATTCCGTCACGTCAAGCTCAAAATATTTTCAATATTCAGCATCATTGATTAATTTGTTTATCAAAATAAAGTTGCTTGCCGCGAAAAATATTCAATATGCTAACTGATGATTGCGCACAGTCCGGAAAGTCCCGAAGTTGAGTTAACTGATGGTGTGAGGAGCGCATGCGTAGATGAATGAATTGCACACGTGATCTACAGCCAATCGGAAGACTGTTTGCACCTTCTTTGAATCGTACAAAAATAGTTCTTAAATATCACACATTCATGTCAATGCACAAAATAATGTCAATTATACAGGCGTTCTTTTGGAATGTGTCGCGCTGTTTTGGTCAGATTTGCTCTTTTCGTGTAGTTCTTTAGAAACAGAGGAATATTTCACCGATGTAATCCAACTTCAATGTAAGTCGCTTGAAATATTTGAATGGATATCAGATGACGCTGATAAACATGTACCAATGGATGATTGAAATTAACCACGAAATCAATGAAATATACCTCTCATCGGAAACATATCAATATCAGCATGACTGCAATGTACAACAAGAAAATATAATGTATCTTAAATATCTTCAAACAAAACAAGTGTCAATAAAAGAAATCAATTTCAGGCACAGTAATGGGAGGTGACATTAGACATCCTCCCCATATTTTAATAATGGCAGTATTAACATTAAAGAACAGGAGTAACCAATATTAAATATGGGGGTGTCAGGATGTACAGGGAAATGTATACGACACTGACTATACAAATGATACAGAACTGATATATCGCAGTCTAAAAAACAGCTATTGTACAGAACAAATATATGAAAAAAATGTGATAAACATCTTCACGTAGGGTTAGCGTGGAGTTTGTGTGGGATGAAAACTGCGTGACGAGAGGATGGGTCCCTCTGTCAGTGGGGTAACAAGAGTGACGGGGTAGGGGTCGGGGAATTTAGTACATTGTGGTGTCCGTGTTTTGTGTACATCGTACTGAGCTCACTCTTCTCTTTTTTTTAATCTTTGAAACACATCAATAAATTTAAAGAGAACTGTGAAAATAACGTTTTTCATGATTCCATCACTTAACCATCATCAGCTCAAAGTATCCTAATCACATATATCAAGGGTTAACAGTCTCATCCGGCGTCATTTGACGTTAATGCGTTTCAGCTCTGACAATAACAATCGCGTGGGCAGTATTATTTCAACATATAAACATAAATAAATAGTCGTGAAATATCAGAGGTCATACATGATAAAAAAATATGACCGGTTTTATACAAATGACACAAATCAAATTCGACCTCTTCTCAGATTAGCGCTAAAACTATTAACGGGTCAAAATATACGGCCATTTAAAATTATACATTAGCAATCATCAGTTTGCCAAAACACAAACTCGCCCCCGCAGCATTGTAAGCAGCATTGCCAAATAATGGATTTTCCAATACGTAAAGTGACATTTGGGAATGTTATGTAGAACTAGCTGGACAAATTGCACTAATTTAGCCGGTGCATAATTAGAGCAAAGTTGATGTAAATAACAACCAAGTATGTCGCTGCCTATCGCGGCACAGCAGTGTATTCGGAAATAAACACAGGTTTTAGCATTAGCTGCAGCCACTTCCTATTCCATAATTGATGCATCAACATCGGAAGTTATGAATATGAAATGACATATTCATGTTGGCACCATTATGATATCAATCATGTTATTTCATTAAAGGCCTTGGTATTGCACAATGTAGAAGTAATTTTGTATTCAGCATTCCTTCTGTAAACATGGTCCTAGTCAATACCGCATGAACACTTCACTGCTTAATTATCCTTGCAGTTCATTCACACGTTGTTTCTACGACTGTACTCTATAGTCGGTTGGACAACGTATTTCTAAGATATTACTGATTTTGACAATGACGTGCGGAAAATAAATTGTTATTCGAAACAGATTGCTTAAGTTATTCTAATCCTTTTCTATGACAACGGCATCAGACTGATACATAGCACTGATAGGAGACAATGGTCACGTTGTTATTAATAGCCCTATGAAAATGTATCTATCTCGTTAATAATACGTCACAATTGTCAACGAACGTTACGCCAGAAATATTATTCTATGCTAGTACTGTAGGAATCCTTTGTCGTATTTGTAAAGCCTTCATACGACAAAGAGCTGGTATGTTATTAAAAACGGCAATAATGATTCATATTCATTTCAGATAGCTCTCTTCACTGGTGAAACACGATATACACTATACACAATGGGGGGGGGGGGGGGGGGGGGGGGGGGATCAAATTCGGAAGAGTGGAACAAAATTGAAAGGAGCTATGTCAATTTCGCAACCCCCACACAGTAATATTTACCCAGTGGGTCGGAAGGTTGGGCCTGGCTTAAGATCAACTATTTATCCATCGATTTGTGATGCGGCACCCACGTGTTCATACTTGACATAAAGGAGAGCGCTTAAGAACACGTTAAACTAATAATTGAACTTTACGCTAGCTCGAGGAGAAAGGGCTTTCCTATAGGGGAAGATGTCTTTTCCCCAGTCAATTACTGCTTAACTCACTTTTAGATTTTTTAAATTCAAGAAACATAAATAACAGCGCGATGGGACATCTCCCAATTCTTGGGAAAAACATTAATGGTTTAAGTGCCAGTTTGTCGGTTCCTAAAATAGAAACAGACACTTCACAAAGTGTTTCCAGATAATAAAAACAGCTCGGTTTCGGGTGAATGTCTATCAAACTTCAATCAAACAGGAAAGTTCACAAAAGTGGATCGGATAACAAATTTTATTTATTTTACAAGAAAAATAAACAGCGTAGCCATTTGCAAAATGTCCCTGAGTTTGCTGATGAAGATTTACGTCATCGTGTTTTGGGGACTACAAATCGAAACCTTCATGTCCACTTGAACTCACATTTTAGGGTTGAGTAACGACATTTAAGTCTCTTTATGTATAGCGACTATAAAGATCTAGCAGGGACTACTGTGATCAAACAGGCTACGGCCCACGCACGGTTTTTAATAGTCAAAACGAGAAACACTGCTTTATTACACGCCAAAACATTAACCGAATATCTCGATGAAACGTATTGCGACTGAGCCAGATGGCATGTGTATTTGTCCCATAACGGAGCTCGTAGGGATCTGCCATACATAACTAGCAGACAATCAATATGAAGGAAACTGCCCGTCATCAAACAACGCCAGCTAGACCTCATGACAGCGATGCTATAGAATTAGGATGGCCACTAGTGGTCAAGAACTGTAGTGTGGTCATCAGCTTCTCTGGGTATGCGTGGTCACTGAACTAATTGATATTGACCATGCTGGACGCTAGACGTCACAGGAGCCTTGCAGAATATTCTATTATAGCGCATAGGTACTGTTGGGAAGTGAATTACTTCAAGTCTTTTGGGAAATCTTTTGAAAAAAATTAGACGTCTTCGACGTCTATTAAATAACGGTAGGTCATTCATTTGGAAGGAATATTCTCAAATAACGTCTAAATTTCTGAATTGGACGTGGTAAATAATGCTTACGTGGGATATGAACACTGGTACAAACTGGTAAGCTCAATATATTACTGATTATGCTTAAGTTCTGAATATTGACCTTTATGCTGAAACTGAATTATATTCCCAAGGAATAAATTCCATTGGCCGAAAGTGTTTGGTTCAATAGATCTAATTTCTCGTGATGGTTTTTATGAAATCTAATCATGCCAGGGCATAAAATCATTACAAGAATGGAAACCACGGCGCTGGTGGAATCAATGGTCTTTACGCAATAGACACCGAGAACTAGAATAAACACGAGGCATGCTGCACGGACAATGATGTCCCATGACAATCTCTAGCGGACAAAGTCATGACCCCCAGTCCCCGCGCTTCACGCAAACATTGATGTAACCTGACCCATCTCGGACACGAGTAGGCTTGGCGTTTTACGTCACAAGGTAGACGGTGGCGGGATGGATCCAACGTTGCAAATCCTATAAACGGCGCTACAAGTTCGTTGTCAGATCGTAAACGCTTTGGTCGCCAATACACCAACATGGTAAAGTGAATTCGTAATTCGTCGCCATGCTGATGGAGTGCCTTTCATCTCAAGAATTATGTATGGTTTTTGTTAATCATGCAATTACTGACAATAACGCCATAAATCACAAGACGGGTATTTATAGTAGAAGGGAAGCATATCGGCTTCTTAACGAACGAGACACGCTCAGCATTATCGTGTAGCGGATGAGTGAGAGAAAAGGTCGCTTTCACTGAATTACAAGGCACCTTATTGCATGTCTATCTGTAATAACTCTATCGATCCGATATTGAATTTTGCGTAGGATTTGTTAAAGCAAATTTCCCTTCCTTTCGAGGACTCACTGAGCATATCAAACGAGAGTCGCTGAGTGGAGTTCTTAATAAGCGTAAATTTGCATGCTTCATTCGAGTAGGTCGCGTTTGGACAACACGTTCGATCATCGAGCCATGCCGTTCATCATGAGTATCCTTCACCGGCTTACGAGTCGCTATGAAAATTGTTTTTGGTCTTATCAACAAGCACAATATTGAGGACCGTGTGTGCTCGGGCAAAGGTCTGACAGTTGGAGTCAATAAATTCGCATCTGCCGCAGTTTTTAAGCCGTTTAGGACCCCGCGACGACGTCGACCAACCGAGTAGAATTTACGTCTTTACGTCTGACGTACAATGGCTATGTAAAGAAGTGGAAGTTGTTGTATGGGTAATAGCATGTAATTATAGTCCTCGAAGAGTCACACGTAGGCCTTAGAAACACGACTAAGCTTGTACCTATGAAAGTCTATTAAAACGCCGGAACGTCTTAAGACACGACAAGTCTGATAGTAAAAGGGACATAATCTTGTCTTAAAATGAATCATAAATGTGTTATGAGATTCTGTGGCCTTGGGGATGTTTGAGGACGGTGAACATAGTTCGTGGCTGCAACAACCCAGTAATTTGTCACAATACGATAAGACGTAAGCCTGTGGGAATATAGTAGTGGGAAGAAAACTAATAATAAATCATATTGATTAAAGCCTTCGTTCGAAAGAGTATAATAAAATTATTGAAACCCAAATCAGAATAATTTCTTATTGCTATGGATTGAACGATTGTTTTTCATCTTTCATCCTGAAACACTGTCTCTTTCTTCTTTAAGAAACTGAAACTAATGATCTTGAATAAAAAAATAGTTCCAGTATCGGGAGACGTGATTGGAAACGACAGTTTACTTCGTTATCACAGCGTGGGGAAGACTGAATAATAATCCTGAAAGTGTTCCACGGCTGAGATAAAAGGCTATATCAGATTAGCTTCGAACGGATATTGAGACATAGGTTTCTTTTCAAAGAACATTTTAAAAACTTGATCATCAAAGTAAATAACTTGGCTGGTTTTATCAAATCAATATGTATTAAGAAGCTTGAAAACTTAAAATCTTTTCGCTTCATACACATCGGCATTGTTTCCAGCATATATCAGTTTCAGAAATGTGGTTCTAGAACTTCATTATAACTTATTGAGAGAAGTGGCGTTCCGGCTTGTATGAAGCCTGGTGTCTGATGTAGAGAAATTGGAAGAGAGTTAAAAAACAGCGTGACCAGACTCAGCGTCGAAATTGACTACAGTCTCCAGCAAGAACCCGTTATGGAGCATCAGATTATATTCTATTGATTTTGTGACCTTAATGATTTCGGAGCTTATCGGAATGTGATTCGTCAGTGCACCACGAGGAGATGCCACCATTGTTTCATGATCCAAAGGTGAACCAAAACTACTATTACTAGTGTCTTGTTTTTATGCAGGACGTTATAGGTTTGAAACAATTGATTAGGCCACAACAAATACATCAGTTATTTTTTTAAATCTCGCCATCCCCTTTTTGGTAGTTAATTTCTGACCAGGTATTCGTATTTTGAGCAACTGAATTAGCCAAATATAGAGATGTAAAAATATGCAAGATCAAAACAAATCTCAGCACAAAGACAAAGCCTTAAGCCCAGTATTATCGAATCATTGATGATCCATGTAGATCATCTATTAGTTTATGGGACATTAACATATCATGTGAGAAAACATAAAAAATCTTGGGAATAATTATGTTAAAACCATTCCTCATTTAACGAACCATAAAGAAAATGAATTTCTTGTGGCCTTATACAACGACTCTAAGACAACACTTTAACAAAATAGTTTCGTTTTATTGAGTAAAAGAATAGATTCAATAAATATATTCATCTGATTGGAATAGACACCAAGTTCAAAGATAACGATGTTATAGGGGCACCAGATGAGGTGAGCAGAGTTAACTCCCTTATGTCAGTGTCGTATACATTATTTTATAATGGAAATAAGTTATATGACCTGTATTTATGAACATGTACTCATTGCTGAAAGAACGAGAGTCGAAGAGTTAGAACGACAGTGGTTATGATGATGGCAATACTACAAGGTAATCTAAGAATTATCTTACAAACATGAGTATTGAAATGTACAACAGTTGTCAGTTTCAAATATACACAACATTGGATCCTAACCCACTCTTATACACTGAAATGTAATCTGAAAATATGCTGAAAAAATAAATGACTTCTTTTGTCAATTATGACCCAGGCATTTCAAAACGAGGTGAACATACCGATGGAATGACAGGAGATTTTATGATTAAAATTCTATTATGAAAAGCGTAAGCTACAAACAATGAATGAAATGCATGCATTTTGAAAGGCAATGCCAATGCACATATCCTCTAATATTACTGTGGCCCTTTCCCAGACAGACAAAAAGAATACTTACAATCGTCTTATCTGAAAATAACAATTGGTCAAAACAATATCCATAGATAAATGTACACTAGCGTATTTGAAAAATAATCTGAACAATGATCTTCTTTTTCAAAATAAAGGCTTTGTCCATTTTGAATTGAGTCCACGTTGTGATGGCTGCCCACACAGCAGCTCATCTTGCAGCTCATCTGGCAGCTCTTACCTTTATACTGCGTATTTTATGTCACGAGTAACACGATAGAGTCTAGGTAAGGTATTGCTCCGTTTGATTTTCACCAACATGATGCTCTCGCGCCACAACGCGATGCTCCTGTTAGCTATCTTGTGGACCGTGAAGCTCCCTTGTAATTTGTCTCCGGCACGTGATGATCTCATTTGATTTTCACAAAAAGGTACTCCAGCAGATTTGAAAAAGGATTTATTTGGAAGAGTCACAATGTTGGATGAGCTAGTTCGGCCGATGGCACTGGCCAATCACTTTGATGATGAAAGTTTAAACTTCTGTGACAGGGAAGTGGACGTTTTCTAGCTCATCGTCTTCCTGTAGTTCATGCGAATTGCCATTGTCTGAGACATCAACATCTCCGTCCATACCCTGCATGGGTTCAGTGTCCAGCTCGTTACATGAACGTGTTTTACCGGATGCACTATTAACACTACTCATGTTGTCGTCATCCTCATCCTCATATTCAAGATCGTTAAACTTACTCTCAACCCCCGTCTCCTCGAATGTGAACGGGCGATTTTCTCCACGCATTTCACAAATCACATTAGTAAGAGCCTTGATATAATTCTTCGCTAAAGTCAGCGTCTCGATTTTCGACAGTTTCCGGTCAAGACGAACGTGGGGGATGACCTCCCGGAGTTCTCCGAATGCGTCATTGAGACTGTGCATCCTCATCCTTTCCCGTTCATTACTCTCAAGACGACGCAGGTTTCTTTCGCGGGCACTAACTCCCTTTTTCCTCCGCGCTGCTTTGCGTGTGTTTCTCGGCTTCTTCTCAGCGATCTCCTCATTGGTGGAACTTCCGGAATCTGATGGCGAACTTGGGTTGTCTCTCTTTGTGCCTCGTTTACGCATGTCAAAGTCCTGGTTCTTTAAGCTTGTGATGCCCCACAGAGAATCTTCACTCGCTATATCGTCCGACATGCCTAATTCTATGTTCCTACTCATTTCCTCCGCTCGAGAACGCATAACCTGCAATGATAAGAAATCGTAGTGAGAATACGTCATACAGATCACATGACATCGGTTTCTAAAGTAGGTCACACATACACCATAACAAGGCATTGATAGAAACCTTCATACAACGAACCATACAAAGGTTGTCATGAATATAATTATAACCAGTCATTTGATAAAACGTCACCATGACAAACGGGGAAAGTCAAGGTTGAATCTGAACAAGGTAGCAAAAAAAACCGATGCCACCATTTGTCATGATTAAAGGAGTTGCATAACTGTACAAGATAAAGATTTAAAAAATCCTCTGATAGCAGCCAAGGGAGGCAATGTCGCGGTTTCTATAGCTTCTAAGCGATATGTTTCATATTGAAGAAGTATGGCGCTTTAAAATCCAAAGGCACGTGAACGTTTTCGCACTCCAACCAGAGTTAATTTGGTTTCTCCAACCAAGGTCCGCATAATTGGAAATGTCATGAGGCCGGCAAGCAGCTCATTACATTTTGAATTAGTTCTGAGTTTTTGTTCACCAAAAACTTTCTAACAATTCAGTGCCCCAGGCATGTGTTCACAAAGTCTTATTTTTAATGACGCATCTCGTGTTCACACTCACAAACATATTTATAAGTCGCCATTGGTCTTTCAAATGTCCTTGCTCGGAGCGCTTGGAAATGAAATACATGCAATTTCCAGCTAAAATTGTAGTGGCTTTTTTATCATGACATTGTTATTCAGGATCTGCTCTCTCGGCAACTGCAACCATTGCATTCCGCTGATATGTACAAGCCAAGAGTAATTAGAAATTAAATGTAATTATGAAGACATTAGTAGTCTTCCCGTATGTACAATGCGCCTCAACTTGATAGCTGATGACTGACACATAGTGTCTGGGTCTTGTAATTAACATGCTAGCGGTGTAACACAAGTAGTGCTAATAGGTATCCATGTGAAATATACTACTGCTATGGCATTGATGAACTACGCTACAAACGTCAATTGAGTGAAATGTACACCCGTGTGGTAAGAAAACTATCAATCACTCATGTATGTCATTCACAAGCGTCACCGGTTGAAGGAATATTTACCAATACGGTACATCATGCATAGTGTCCATTCAAAGAGATATATATTTATTAACTAATCAGGTATGAGTCTAATTATGCCATCCGTTCATTGAGTGAGTGAGTATGGTTTTACGGTTCTTTTAGCAATATTCCATCAATATCACGGCGGGGGACATCAGAAATTGGCTTCAGACATTGTACCCATGTGGGGAATCGAGCCCGGCTCTAGCGAACGTTTTAACCACTAGACAACCCCCCCCCCCCCCCCCCAATTCATTGAAGGAAATATTAACATTAGACATACAGTTTTGTTTGACATACGATCGATCTTTGAGAAACACGCTACAAAACATGAAAACATACACGGCATTCGTTCGTTGAGAAACATATGTTAGCATTTTACATAAAATCGTGCATGGCATGATTGTTGAGAGAAATGTACCAATGTAACGTGGAAGCATACGTCTTGTTGAGACAAATATGTACCCTTGAGACATACCATCATGCATCCCATCGATCGTTGAGAGAACTATATACTCATGAGACATGAAATCATGCATTCTCTAACATTATGGCCAGTTACAATAAAACACCAAAGCGTTACTGAAATACCGCCTGTTCAATTTCGATGACATTTGTCGTCAGTCAAGTCTGGCCTTTGAATTACACAATGCAAGCTACAGGCCTAACACGACATAGCAGGATCCCTTGCCTTAAAAACAATGTAACGCAGCTGGGTTCTTTGAGAGGGAGCTGATTCTGATCTATTTGCTTCAAGTATAGGGATTGGGAAAAACAAATCGATCACTACGAATATAAAGCGATGCGGCAGAGGGTTTAAATGTCACCGCCTACGTGAAGGTGTTCGTCTGTTACACCAGACCACTCTGTGAATGGACATAGCTCTCCAGGCAAATGCCACAAAGTGTCTGGACTGACCATCGACTTGGACACACTGACCGATCGACTTTGCGCTGGAAGACCCGTGTTGACCATGGAGGAAAGGCTTAAATTATTATAGTATTTTCCGTTAGGTTTGACGTCATAAAAATCGGATACGTTAACAGTGCAAGCCATAGCGGATGGGTATGATGCTTCAATACACCGTGTAGATCTATACCATGTTCATCTGATTGCTGCGTTCCCGTGGGTGATATCAAAATGAGAACATACCGCACCAGATGATAAGAAACATAATCAGAATATATAATCCCCTACATCGACCTCAGTACTGTCGAAACTACAAAGATCTTGAAATTACCGTAACGTACGTTATCATCGCTGCGTGTGCTCAGATACGGAGAACAGATCCATTCAGAGATTTATGAAAACAGTTTATTTTCGTCAAATCATTTACTTGAACTTATTACAATAGCACTGTTGTTATGCCGAAGAACATTAGACACATTGTCGAGGTCTACTCCCTCATCACGCATGGCAGAACAGGCATAGAACTCTCATAAACAGTTTCCTCAATCATCATTAAAAACCCAGTTCATATTATATTTTTAAATTTGTTATTCACAATCACAGACACATCAGTTTTCATATTACATTTTTTAATTTGTTATTCACAATCACAGACACATCAGCGACCCTAAGATTTATCAAAACGCATCAGATAAACAATCCCAATGAGGTTATTAATACTTCGGCTCTATTTTTAAATGACCCATGGAAAGCTGCCTCCTTCCTGATTCCATCGCAATGGTGATCAGCAATGACTGAAAGCTCTGTTATTTTAACCTTGGCGTATCGGGCAATTAATCGGGAGCCGGCTCCATAAAAATTCAGCGAGCAGGTTGATAGGATTTAAAAGTCGTTTTGGAATATTCAAATAATAACTGCCCTTTGATGTTGCCAATGAAAAGATGTCAATGCATTGGTTCCTGCTGTGGAAATAGCTTAGAGATCAGCCGTTGGCGTTGAGGCACTTTTTACACTGTGTAGCGGGCTGGTATTTATCAAGCAAGCCATAGAGAATACCTTTGACATTTGTGTTTGAACAGACTTCTTAATCAAGCGCTGCTAATGTGGACTAGATATTAATGCAAGATTGTGGTGCTAGAAACGCTACCGGCTCGACACACCACTAACCTCTGCTTGTGGTGAATGTAATTAGTAGGGGGAATGGTAGGGGTTACTTGTGAGTAGATGCTACATTACATGTGTCTGTCAATGTTGATGAAGGCGTAGCATTAAGTGCAACGGGGACCACGCGTGTAACGCTACCTGGGGACATAAGTTGATATACACGTGTTACGTTGGAAATACGCATTACGTTACACGTGTTTGTTACCATAAACGTATGTATTACGTCAGACGCATTTGTACGTATTCGTAAACATATTTCTTACTGTAGACATACGCATTACTTTATACACGTTTGTTAAGCAAACATACGTATTATGTTATACGTGTTTGTTATTGTGAACATACGTATTGCACGTAACACGTATTTTTTTTTCCTGTGGACATACGTATAATGTTACATGTGCGTGTTACATCTGACATACGTATCATGTTATACGCGTCTGTTACTGTGAACATAGGTATTGCACGTAATACGTGATTTTCTGTTGACATACGTATCATGTTATACGCGTCTGTTACTGTGAACATAGGTATTGCACGTAATACGTGATTTTCTGTTGACATACGTAACATGTTATACGCGTCTGTTACTGTGAACATAGGTATTGCACGTAATACGTGATTTTCTGTTGACATACGTAACATGTTATACGCGTCTGTTACTGTGAACATAGGTATTGCACGTAATACGTGATTTTCTGTTGACATACGTATCATGTTATACGCATCTGTTACTGTGAACATAGGTATTGCACGTAATACGTGATTTTCTGTTGACATACGTAACATGTTATACGCGTCTGTTACTGTGAACATAGGTATTGCACGTAATACGTGATTTTCTGTTGACATACGTATCATGTTATACGCGTCTGTTACTGTGAACATAGGTATTGTACGTAACACGTGTTTTTTCCTGTGGACATACGTAACATTTTATACGCGTCTGTTGTGAACATGTCCGCGTTACAGCTGACATACGTATTGTCTTATACGTGTCTGTTACAGTAAACATATAACTCATCAAACCACGACTTAAATACTTGGCCATAGACACTGCAAAGAGTCTTCAATCGTTCTTTCTGAACTTTTATCAGCTTATAAATTACATGCATCCCCATTAACAATAACAGAGTGTAAACAGACATCAATAAACAGAAACACGACCTATATAATCAGAGTCTAGTCATTCCCATAGCGATAGCCTTCATTAGATAATAGTAGAACAATTGCATCCTAATTGAATAGATTAATGCTCATGATGTCAATCATTGGAATGTCTGGTCCAGACTCGATTATTTACAGGTCGCCGCCATATAGCTGGAATATTGCTGAGTGCGACGTAAAACAATAAATATAGAAAACAAAACAAACTACGAATACAATACGCTATAAGGAAGCATTACTACGACGTAAGACACTGGGGGCGTATGGCAAACACCATCGTGAACCCTGATAATGAAACAAACAGTTCCATTTTGATTTGACGAATGGTGTAAGAAAAGTCTTCCCTCAGCTGCAATCGATCCTCTCTGGAACAAGCTCTATTTCCATTCAGTCAACGACTTTAATTTGTCTTAATTCAACATCTAGGGTATTTCTCCCCAAATAAGCTGTTAGTTCGTGGACAAGGCCTCAGTAATCTCTCTACAATACCACCAAGGGGAATAGGGAGGAATGTCAAGTTTAGCCTGAACCTTGACATTTCACTGTGAGTAGTTTACATTCGTGATGAATGGTAATTGGCCACCGATCAGAATAAAATCAAATTGAGAACGTCTAACTTGAAATACACATGTCATCTCCAGCTAAGAATGGCGTGGTATTTGAAGCCGGGAAAGTGATTCGCTGAGAATA